CTGTGTAATTCAGGTGAATACAGTTTTCCAACTTGCTCTAGTAGCAGCAGCCCTGCTTCAGCCAGGATTTGGAAATGAAGAAACTCAGCTATATATAAGTTGTTTGAGGTGAGTTAGCTTCCCTCACATCAGGTACTAGACTCCTGCTTGTGTGGGTATGAAATTGATGAGCCCGTTATTTTGGTTTGTGGTGCAGCTGGTTAGTGGCTTCTACTACGGTAGCTTCAACTGCAGCGTATGGTGTGCAGCACTTGAAAAATAGAGCTGCATCAATGAAGACACCCAAATCGAGAACTTGACCAAACTCCCTTTTTTTTTCTATCTTTTGTAGACTCCTCTGCTTCAAGGGAATGATTTTTTTTTTTTTTTTTGGTCGAATATGTTCGCAAATGCGAGTATGGAAGGGCTAATTACGACTCTAGGATCCCAGGTTCCCAGGGACAACATTTTGTACTTCCGTGTTCCAGAGTGGTTGCATGTTTGAGTTTTAACAAAAGTCAGATTGTTGAAAACAAATCTGATGTTTTTCATGCCAAAATACATGTTGTTTCCATTCTGTCATGATGTATCCAAAATCAAGGTGGTTGAAGCAAACATCGAAGTATCTTTGGACATGCTATTTCAAATGATGGAAACAGTAAAACCTATTAGGGTGGAGTACACTAGATTGTTGATTAGTTGGAACAAAATTTGCTAGTAAGGGCAAGAAACAAACCAAGCAACTCAAAATTTCATGGTGCAAATACAATAACTCTCATCTTCTCAGAGCCCTTTTTTCTACCCAGAAAATAGATAACAAAATGCAAATGATACTTCTCTGACTCCTATAACTTAGGCAAGCCATCCTCAACCTCACTCCACTTATCACTATTCCTCTGGAACTTCTCTTTCACATGCCCAATAATCTCCCTAGCCTCGTCCACTTTCCCGATCCCCACAAGTCCGTCGACAAGCAGCTTCATAGTCGTCATGTTCGGCACCCAACCCTTCCCCATAACCTCCCTGCACACATCCAAAGCCGCCTCAAAATCACCCCCTTTGCACATGAAAAACACGAGCGTGAAATAGCAAACAGGCTCCGGCTCCAAACCTTTCCCGACCATCTCCCCAAACAAGCCCTTGGCCACTTCCAATTTACCTTCCCGGCAGAACCCGTAAATCAAGCTCCCGTAGGTCGCGCGAGTGGGCTTTATTCCCTTGGACACGATCCCACCCAGCAGTGCCCTGGCCTCCTCCGATCTCCCGAGCTTGCAAAGACTCTTTATCCTCACGTTGTAGATACTGATCCCAGGCTTCACCCCGTGTTTCTTCATCAGGTTCAAAATCTTCCCCACTTCGTCATTCTTCTCCTCCATGTAAAAACCGGCGATTATAGTGGCGAACGTGGTCAAATTCGGTTTTACGTTTTTACCCTCCATCTCGGCCAGTATGGCGTGGGCCTCACTCGAACAGCCCCCGTCACAAAAACCCTTGAGGACGGTGTTATATGTGTCCAGCTCCGGCTTGAGCCCGTATTTTTGGGGAAAATCTCGGAAAATCCTTGCCATCTCGGAGTAATCGCCGGCCAGGAGGCAAGAATAGAGCAAAGAGTTGAGAGTCTTCACGTTGCGATTCACGCCCATGGCCGGCATCCGGTCAAACAGATCGACGGCGTCTCCGACCAGACCGCCCCGGCCGTAGAGGACGATGAACTGCGAGAACAGATGCTCGGATTTGCGGGTGCTGAGCCGCTCAATGGAGTCCCGGATCAGGGTTCGTATAGAGTCGTGGTCGTTGGAATCCATGAGTTTGGAGATGGCTTTGGTGTAGACGTGGCGGTGGAAATGCGACTCGGGGGTCAGGGAAGTGGAGCGGAAGATGTGGGGGATGCGGGCCGGGTCGGGCTCGGACAGGACGAGGGCGAGGGTGGTGCGGGTTTGTTCCTCGTTGGCGGGTAGGGTTCGGGAGACTGGGGCGGGGTGCGGGGAGGTGGAGAAGAAACGGCGTCGTTGGAGGAGGAGCTGCCGGAGCTTGCCGCGCAGTGCCATTTTGATCGGTTGCGAGGGATTTGGCCTTTGGGGGTAGGGGTTGGGGCAGAAGAACCAAACAGCTGGGAATCTATAGTGTGTATTTAATATTTAATAAATAAAAAATAAATAAATAAATACTGTTGAGTCTGTATTTAATATTTATTATGGGGAAAAAAAAATTTAAAAAAAATAATGATCCGAATAGGGGATTTGAACCCGACGTGAATCGAACACGCAACCTTCTGATCTGGAGTCAGACGCGCTACCATTGCGCCACGGATCCTTAATGTTTGTAGCTTGTAGAGATTTGAACTAGTTTGTAAAATAGCAACAAGTAGTCAATTTTTGGGACATTTGCTTGGACAATGAGCCCATGGAAAGATTGACTGACGGCAGTACATCGTTTTATTGTGAAAAATACTTGCATTTATGTATTGTCTTTTGCCAAGTTTGCAAGTGTTTTAAATTTAAAATTGTGGTTCGGTTTGTGGCGTATAGTTTTCGTGCTGCAATGGGAGCTACGTATGATTTTGTTATTATTATTATTATTTTGTTCGATTCATATTGTGACTTTCTATGTGATGGTTTTCCGTGGAGCTCAGAAACAGAATTGCGTGCTATATTCACGTGTTAATAAAAATTGACCTATTTTACTTTCCTTTCTTCACAAATGTCAAATTTGGTAAAATATTGGAACCAAAAAATGGTTTGCTTCATAAAACGGAAGACTTAAATTTCATAAAACCAAATCAGTTTGCTATTTTGTCCGCCAAGTTGGTAGTTATTAATTTGAAACCGCATGTCCGACCAATATGGAGTGCACATATAATTTTCAGTAGATCAGACCTCAACCGACTCACTAGACGCAACTTCGTGACAGAAGTGTCCTTGTTATAAGTATTTTTACCCGAACCAAACCATTCTCATAAGTCATAATAGCTCGATTGTTTCTCCTCACACACGAGAAAATGATATGCGAGCAGTCGAATACCTATTCATTTCCTTAGTTGATGGCACACAAAGGCCTGAACCAGTATACATTAAAATAAAATAATAATAAAGCTCCTCTTAGCAAAACCATGATTCAGCAACATTCTTTAATGTGCATCTTTATACAGCCATAGAGTGTAAAACTTGATGACTAAATTCACGACAAAAGGTCACTAGCACTGTCAGCAGAAGATCTAAAACAGCTTCCTACGCGAGCTGACATAGTCACATAGCACTACATATGTTTTAGTTCAGTCATCCCACTGACTTTCTTTTTTCAATTTCATTGAGCATCATCTACAGGTGGGGCAGCAAATCTGATATTAGCTGGCCTGGCGGCAACCACTGGCTCGTCCGCAAACAAGGACCTGATGAAAGATGGAGTTTTGAGGGGTCGACGACCTGTCATTCGTGGGTACACGTCTTCAAGAAAGTAGTAGGCATGGCCTGCTATCATTCCCTGAGCCAGAAGTGAATAAATATGGTAAATAACAAATAGATTGAAGTCTTTCAGCAAACGGGCAAGTTAAACTATGAAGGCATACCAAAAGATCCACCCAAGCACTAGCACCAACAAGGACAGAGAACCCTAGAAGGACCTGCAGATAGGATTAAACCAGATAAATATAACGATGAACAAAACTATTAAGACTAAGCTAAAGATTGAACATTGATTTTAGGTCATTTGCTTCCAAACATCATTTGTCGTCATGCAGGCAGACAGTTTGGAAGAACAATTGAAGATAAGCGTATGAATTTTCAATATCATGATTAATAATTTCCCCCATCTGATTTATATATTTAACCAGCGATAGGATAATCGAGTATAAATTATGAAGATGTCAAATTTTCAAGAAATTTTGATAAACCACTAACCCATGGCAGGTAGGCAGCCGTGAAGGTGAAAAGGCCCAGAAAGCTCATGTGAATGAATGGGTTCTGCTTGCTCCACACATATACCTAAAACATAACAGGTAATTCCCAATGAGATATAAGATGATCAACACTTGCTTCAACATAAAACTAGCTATATACTAATATTCACAAGTATTTCTGCGCACAGGAAAACTAACCATCATAAAGGTGAGAGAATTGCTGAGGAATATGATTTTTGCGAACGACTCTGAGACATATGGAATCATCCCGCCAAGAAGTACTATACCAGTTAACACTGTCGCACCAAACAATAGCATGTAGAAGAAATCAGCAGTCCTACCACGAAACGAGTTCTCTTCAAGAAGCTTGCAGTATCGGGCGAGAAAGAACATGTGAAACAAAAAGTCCAAATCTGCAAGGAAACAAATATATCAATGTTCAGTGAGAGAATGGATCTAGAAGGCCATAACATGGTTTTCCTAATTGATCTGTCAAACTTCAATGTCTGCGACCGGCACGTTGAGATAATTGTCACATCAAAACGGTTAAAAAAAATGCCAATTTCATCTTTAACTAACAGAAAGGTACAAAACGTGATATGAAGATAATTACATGCATCATATCAGCATATAAATATAATGAGGTGCATGCACACGCTCCAGGGTAATCACTGACTTCTCCCATTTAGTCGAACTGTGAAAGCAAAGAAAAAGACTACATAATGCAATTTACACTACATTTACCACATGTTATCGAGTATATGCTACTACATACATCAATTGTACAAATTGAACCGATTAGCAGAAGGAATGAACACGGAAATTTTGTACATAAACTAGCAGAGTAAATCAAATTATACAAGTTATAGATGCTCATCAGAGCCCAATCAACCATGGCAATCCAAATTAAACCATATATTTGGAAGAGAAGTGAAAGATTTACCCATCTTACGGAAATACAGAAAGTTGGTGATGACACGCCAGATTTGGTATTGCTTAACAACGAGCTTCGGATTCAAGTACAAATCATAAGGAGATATTATCTGCAGATTACCACACCAAGAGACAACTATATTCAGCTAATGCTCTCCCAAAAGTTAATCATGAAAACAAAACTCCAATTTCTTCTCAAAAAAAAAAAAAAAAAAAAAAAAAAAAAAAAAAAAAAAAAAAAAAAAAAAAAAACCGGAACTCCATTCCTATTCAGCTCAAAGACGAATACCAAAACAATTTAGCTATTCAAGTAATTTCAGTGAAAATCAAATAATCTCCGATGATCTATGTCGAGGAATACATGCAACATTTAGCTTTGTACGAGCGCGTTACGATTGCCCAAACAATAAAATTTCTCCGACGCCATCTAGTAAAGAACACAGCTGTTTCTGAGCAAAAAACAAAACAACAACAATAATCAAAAGGACAAATTACTCACATCGAGAGAGCAACCGATGGTGGTAACAATGGCGGCCGTGAGGTACGAACGCGTTATGATTGGCATCTGCCTATACCACTCTTCCACCGCTTGCGCCATTCCTATTCCCTTCGAATTCTCACTCAACTCAATCAACCCAGTCAATCAACGACGCAGCTTAAAATAGAAGAAACCCTAATCCCAAATACGATTTTCCCCGCGAACACGACGACAAAAGCATCCACAAAAAAACGAGGAAGAACAGATTACAGTGACGGAATATCAAATGCCAAACGCAGTAGAAATCACAATAGTAAAATCATTTTTCTTACGATTTGTACAGAGGTAAATACTAGATATATAAACTGAGCTACCTGCTAATTTGAACCGAGAGACCACGCGTGTGGAGGTGCGTGTCGAACACGAACCAATAGATTTCTTCACTGAGGCTGATTTGACCAATAATGTACATTTCCAGCGTCGCGGCTATGTCACTGGAACGTGACCACATGTCACGAAGATTACAACTATTTCAATTTTTTCTTTATTTTTTCAGAAGTCTAAACTCGTGCCTAAAAGCGTGAGAAAACGAGTGTCATCTCATGATGCGCAAAAGTTTTATCATCTAAAAATTCTAGAGCTTTCTA